TTGAGAAGTAAAAAAATGTATCCTATAATTAAACTGCAATACCAAATGGACACCACTAATTGGTAACACTATTAAAGTGGACATGTATATATGTACTATTCCGAATATTTTATTAAAGTGAAATATATTTATTATGATGATACTTATTTTGAGACCATATCACTATCTTAGAGGTACAGATAGTACACATGTTGTTTCTGATAGATCATCAACTCAAGAAGAAATACTAATTATTTTCAATTTATTTCTTAATAGCTAAAATGACTTATAATAATCAAGAGTGATATCGTAAATCAAATCTAAGATTATTGAGGAATAGTAAGATGGCTATGGGCACTAGCTTAGCTCATTATTGTCTTCACAAAACTTTCAACTCTTCAACAACTTAGAAAAAAATGCAACTCTTTATGTTATAAGTATGTCACATGTCTACTATATAGTACAATAATTGAAAGACAGAGACATATGGTAACAACTTATTCACCAATAACTCATGGTAGCTCATCAAACACAACTTCCAAGGTTTATATCATTGAAAAAATTGTATTAACAACCTAAGTCCCTTATGTCAATAACTACCCCCAAGAGCGACTTTTATACTTTTAGAGGTTATTTGGTACCAAAACAACTCGTGCGGGAATTAATTATGTTGAAATTAGTTACGCTAATTAGTTATAGAAAGATAATTTTTCATCATGTGTTTGGTTCACTTTATTAAAAAGTAGATATACAATATATATATTACTTAAATTCGTGCTTGGTTTAAACCTATATTAAAAAAATGATTTACAATTCTACCCTTCAACTTTTGTAGGCTTCTATTTCTATTGAAGATCAAAGTTGCAAGCCTTTTATCTTTCTATCGTGTTCATTCGTTTAATAAAAAAAATAAAAAAACTTTTTAGCTTTGGAATGTCCCAATTTAAAAAGCTACTTATTGAGATTAAGTGTGTATACATTTAGAATTAGTTAATTTAGTGTAACGTCATATTAATTAATTGATCGAGTCTGTTAGTAGAATTAGTTAGTTAGCTGTCAAATCACGTGGTAGTTGTTTTCTTTTTAGTTAGTTAGGACTTTAGATATTTTCCTCATCCAGTTGTATAAATACCAATCTGAACTACCATTGTACATAATTAATTCAGAATGCAAAATATCATTCTTCTTCTCTGATCAAGCTTTATGCTCTCATCATCAATGGAGATTTCGTCTTCTCAAACCTCTCATTTTAACATGGTATCAGAGCGAGGACACTTTGTTCTTCCTCTTTCTCTTCGTCTTTAATTTCCGCATCAGATCTCTCTTTTCCCAATTCTCTTTGGCTTTTCTTCTGATTAGAAATAGTAGATCTCACGATCACTAGTTCAGCTAGCACTACCTCTTCTGGAATTGATACAGGAAGTCATTTTTACATTCATCCCTCAGATAGTCCTGGTGCAGTACTTGTACCTGTTCCTTTTAATGGCACTGGATTTCACTCTTGGCGCTGTAGTGTGCTTCGATCCTTGTCGGTGAAGAACAAGCTAGTCTTCATCAATGGTGAGTGTAAAAGACCAGATGCAAATCACTCCACTTATCGTCAATGGGTGAGGTGCAACAATATGGTTACCTCTTGGATTCTCAATTCTCTAGGTCGAGATATTGTAGAGAGTGTTGAAAATGTCAATGATGCTCTGGAACTATGGACAGAACTGGAAGATCGTTACGATCAAACAAATGGAGCAAAATTATATCAAACTCAGAAGGAAATCAATAATCTTAATCAAGGTATTCTCGATATCACTACATACTATACTCGCATGAAGAAGCTTTGGGAAGAGCTGAACAATTTATGTATTTTAAGTCAGTGCAATTGTGTATGTGTATGTGAAGCTAAGACTAATATTCATAAGGTAGAACAAGACAGACGTTTGATTCAGTTTCTCATGGGTTTGAATCTGTTGTATACCACAATTAGTGGAAGCATTTTGATGATGAATCCCTTACCTTCTATGGCACAAACTTTTGCTTTGTTAGTACAAGAAGAGAAACAGAGGGAATTCAAGCCCAATAACAACCAAATGTTTGCTGAAAGTAGTTCCTTCATTGCGAGTTCATTGGGTTCAGGAGGAAGAAATTTTCAAACAAACTATTTTGTTCCCAACACAACACCTAGAGGGAGACCTTTTTGTGAATTTTGTAGAAGGCCAGGTCACATTATAGAAAAATGTTACAAGTTACATGGTTATTCATCTAGTGGCACGCCTCCAAATTCTTTCAATTCCCAATCCTCAAGCAATTATGGTACAAACCAGCATCAGAAAGCTCCTAATCATGATCAGTACAATTCAAGAAATCAGGCCCAAAATACTTACTCAAATCAAAGGCATAACACTAAGGGAAAGAGTGGAGCGGCAAATTCTGTACAAATATCCTGTGATGGAGATGCTGGTGGACATAAAAGGGAATCAGATTTTCATAGTGATGCTCAAGGAAATGAAAATATCAGTATCACCAAGGAATAATATGATCAAGTTGCTCATTTGTTGAACCATTTCCAGGACTCTAACTCTGTGGCAGATCAAAATGATGGAACATGTGGAGCTGTGAACTTTGCAGGTATCTTTATTTGCTCTCCCTCTCCTGATTTTGTTAAAATCTCATGTGAATATTTCAAAATAATGATTGATTTATGGATATTAGACTCAGGAGCATCCCACCATATGACCTTTAACAAAAATCACCTTGTGAATATGATCATTCTACCCTGCCTTATGTTAGTTAGATTACCAAATAGATATAGAGTCAAAGTTACAGAGATTGGTAGTATGCATCTTACCTCCAAGATCACTTTGTCCGGAGTACTTTATGCCCCTTCTTTCAAATACAATTTAATCTCCATCAATTCTTTAGTAAATCATCTCAAATGTACTGTCTCTTTTTCTAACACTTCTTGTCTACTACAGGCCCTTTCACTGAAGAGGCCTCTGGAGATTGGTAAAGTACATAATGATCTCTACTTCCTTTGCTCAGATTGTTTACAAAAGACTAGCCACAATGATCAGCAACAGCAACATCCTACTTCATGTTTCCTTTATCTAGCAATAAGATGCAATGTGTTCCCCTTTTATGTACTTCTCACACAAATGTAATCAGCTCCTCTCTTGTTAGTAATAAAAATAATGTTGCTGACAAATCTTTCAATTCTTTTCCTACTGATAGCATGGATTTACTCTTGCACTATAGACTTGGTCATGCACCCTTTGTAAAAATGAAAGGCATCTCCTCTATACTTGTAAATTTCTCACCAAAACAACCTTTCTTTTGCCCTATATGCCCAATGGCCAGGTAATCAAGGTTATCTTTTTCCCCAAAAATCTCACATTACCACCAGCATTTTTGAACTACTACATGTTGATCTTTGGGGTCCCTACCAAACAACAACTCATGACAACTTTAGATACTTCATTACTTTAGTAGATGATTTTAGCAAGTCCACTTGGACACATCTTCTTAGCAGTGAAAGTAATGCCCTACATATCATCAAAGTCTTTGTTCTAATGGTTGAAAACCAGTTCAAAACCACCATTAAAACAATTAGATCAGATAATGGACTGGAATTCACTAACAATGAATCCATTATGTTTTTCCAGACCAAGGGAATTATTCACCAAAAATCTTGTCCTTATACCCCAAAGAAAGCACAAATACATTCTTGAAACAGCAAGGGCTCTCCTTTTTCAATCAAAACTCCCAGTGAAATACTGGGGTGAATGCATACTTACCTCCACATACCTCATCAATAGACTCCCTTCTTCTCCTCTTCACAATAAATGCCCCTATGAGATCTTATATAAACATCAACTCTCATACTCACATCTAAAGAGTTTTGGGTGTTTTTGCTACCCTACTATTCCAAAGCCTCACAGAACCAAATTTGAACCTAAGGCTATACCACATGTATTTGTTGGATATCCTTATGCTACAAAGGGTTACAAAGTCATAAATCTGTCCACTTAGAAAATCCATATCTTAAGGGATGTCATCTTTCATGAAACCGTTTTTCCTTTTGCCATGACTAAGGATACTACTCATTTTCCATCATTCACTTTTTCATTTTGTGACCCTAAATGACTATCCCGTGTCTTTTAATGATAATTCTTCCCCTGCTGTGCACTGTGATCAAGATAAACTAGATAATAATAATATACCTGTTGATATACCTATTGATGTGCTAGCTGATGACCATACTTCACCTGCTAATACACTCTCCACACCACCTCTTAGAAAATCCCAAAGAACACATAAAGTACCTACATATTTGTCTGAATATGTTCACACAATACCATCCTCAGGTACATCAATCACACCACAATCTTCCTCCATTAGTGCCATTTTTTCCCTAGACATCATATTTCTCCTGTTGTTTTAAATCTTGACAGTCAGTCTTTTGTAATGAATGTTTCTCATGATTGTGAACCTAACTCATTTTGAGGAAGCATCTGTGGATCCTGCATGGCAAAGGGCTATGACACAAGAGTTCATTGCCTTGCATGACAACAATACTTGGACTCTCACAACTCTGCCAAAGGGTAAGAAGTCTATTGGTTGCAGGTGGGCTTATAAAGTCAAACACAAGGCTCTTCTTGCGAAGAGGCACCAGATCAGGGGGCAGCAGCTACTATTGGGATCCAATTTCGAGATCAATTCGACAATGAAACTCTTCCTTCTTGCTTGATAGGGGGGGATTACATTCACCAGCGTAGACTATAAGTGCTCTCCGAACTGTGTTGGATAGTCACCCATCACACGGCGGGAGCATAGAACGGTATAAATCTAGGCTGGTGGTAAAGGGATATACTCAACATCATGGCATAGATTATACAGAGACATTTTCACCTGTTGTCAAGATGACAACTGTGAGGGCACTCATTGCCACTGCTGCAAAGAAACAATAGAATATATATCAACTTGATGTTAATAATGCTTTTCTTCATGGAGATCTACATGAGGAAGTGTATATGGATGTGTCACCAGGTCTGACCACCCCTCGCAAAGGTCTAGTCTGTAGACTTAACAAATCATTATATGGTCTAAAACAGGCCAGCAGACAATGGTATGAGAAATTGACTGAAGCACTTCACACAAGAGGCTATGTTCGTTCCCTCCAATGCTACTCTTTGTTTTACAGAAAAAGAGGTGCATCTTCTGTCTTCCTAAGTGTTTATGTTGATGACATCCTACTCACAGGAATAAACACTGCTGAAATTGATGAACTTAAAAGGTTCCTTGACAGTCAATTTAAAATCAAAGATCTTGGTAGACTGCATTATTTTTTGGGCCTGGAAGTTTTGTACAAAGATGATGGGATTATGATTTCTCAAAGGAAGTTTGTGTTAGACCTCCTCAAGAAATTCAAATGTGATCACATGACTCCTTTATCATCTCCTCTCGATCCAAATGTTAAGCTAAAATCACATGAAGGAAAGGCCCTAGATGATCCTACTTACTATAGAAAATTAGTTGACAAGCTGAACTTTCTTACAAATACCAAACTTGATCTTGCCTATGGTGTGCAACTTCTTAGTGAATACATGCAGGATCCTATGGAGCCTTATTTACATGCTGCTTTTCACATGCTAAGGTGTCTCAAGAAGGATCCTACTCTAGGTGTTTTTATGTCCTCATCTGCCAATTTTGGAGTACAAGCCTATTGTGACTCTGATTGGGCTGCCTACCCTGACTCAAGGAAGTCTGTTAGTGGTTGTATTGTGTTGTTGGGAGATGGTCCTATTAGCTAGAAGTCCAAGAAGCAAGAAACAATCACCCTTTCCTCAGCTGAAGCAGAGTACAGATCTTTGAGAAAGGTAGTGGGAGAACTGACTTGGTTGTAAAGATTATTTGAGGAACTGACTGTACCTCAGAATGGACCATTCCCTATACATTGTGATATCCAAGCAGCCATTCACATTGCAAGGAACCCTGTATTCCATGAACGCACGAAGCATATTGAAGTGGATTGCCATTTTGTGAGGACTAAGCTTCAAGAGGGGCTCATTACATTGCATCATATTGACACTACTGCTTAGTTAGTTGATATCCTTACCAAAGCACTTACTGGGATTAAGCATTCTACTCTTTTGGACAAGTTGGCTTCGATTACTTCTTCTCCAACTTGAGGGGGGTATTGAGATTAAGTGTGTATACATTTAGAATTAGTTAATTTAGTGTAGACGTCATATTAATTAATTGATCGAGTCTGTTAGTAGAATTAGTTAGTTAGCTGTCAAATCACGTGGTAGTTGCTTTCTTTCAGTTAGTTAGGACTTTAGATATTTTCCTCATCCAGCTGTATAAATACCAATCTGAACTACCATTGTCACAATTAATTCAGAATGCAAAATATCATTCTTCTTCTCTGATCAAGCTTTATGCTCTCATCATCAATGGAGGTTTCGTCTTCTCAAACCTCTCATTTTAACACTACTTATTCTGTTTTCAAGATCATCACTTGTAATTAAATAAAGGAAAAAGAGCTTGTTATGCCTCTCAACATGTGATTTAGAGTTGATGTATCCTCGTTAAAAAAATGTCTCGCATATACACTCGTTGTCTAACAAATGACACATATTTTCCTTTTTCGTTAGTAGGTCATCTTTTACTAAATTGAAGAAAAAAATCATTTTTCTTAATTTTTAATCGAGAACTTGCCACATGACTTTAAATATAATAATTTCACCCATTATTTTTTATCCCTATATAGAAGAAGCCAATAACCATATGTCAAGAAACATGAGACGCACCTGAATTAATATGAAACTTTTAGCAATATATATCTCACATTACAAGAAGTTCCAAAGTTTTCCAACAATTTTATATATAGTCTTTTTATAAAATAATCAGGGTGGGTATAGGGGGAGGGAATTACATTACAACATGGAGAATCGAACCCTCACCAACAAAATGGGAGTTCAGATAACCAACCAACTAAGCTACTATGATTCCCCGATTATATATTGAGCTTGACTTACTAGATGTACATTAAACGTTACTATAAGTTAATCAAGAGGAAGTCGAAATCCACTGATCTCCTTGAATAAAATTTTGTATAGAGTATGAGTTAACATGTTCAGCTGGGATTTGGCTACTCCACGACACTCGTCCTGCTGTATTAGCTCCGGCACCAGTATTTCTATATTCTCCGTAGTATAGAGTCTTCAACGCGAAATCACCACTCCAGGGCAACCATCCGTTAGCGGAAATAAGAGCCTCTAAAGTACAATCTAGAAAGACGGTCCGAGAATACTCCTTCCATGGTCTTCCCAGAAAATTTTTGTGGACTTTGGGGTTGCTGTAGTACAAGGACATGTATTTGTCAGTTCCATTGATCAAACAATTTTGGAAGACGAAACCAGTTGACTGTGCAGGGTCTATCCTGCCATGAGCAGTCACGGCATTCGTCTCTCCCTTTTCAGGACGGAGTTGTCGAGGTGCTATTAGGATGTCACAATCTTGGAAGAAAGAAGCTGAGTTTCCGAAAATGAAGTCTACATTGCCTTGGATACGACAGGACTTGTAGTATTGGCGCAAAGCGTGGGCGTATAGGGTGTCTTGATTGCCAATGAATTCACAGTTCTCTACAACTGAAAGATCACTGTCGGATCGGAATGCTACGGCTTGGTGAGCATCCGGACCGGCTGTGTTTTGGAAGGTGATACCACTGGCCATGAATCCATCACCAACAACTCCTGTTTTAGAAATACTAAACATTAGAACGACTCGAAACTACAAAAGTTCATCAATTAAGTAGGTCTTCAACAACAAATAGTAAATGCATCACTTGAACAATAACATCGAGTCCTAAGCCAAAGGTTTATGACAAATGCAAACATTTTACACTTCTAGCATACCCCTATGATCCCAACACGGATCAAAACGGGTTCAACTGAAACCATTGCTTTCGGCTCCATCCATAAATACACATACCACAAAGTTAATGCTCATATGTATACATGTGTATACATTAGACTCATTCCAAATCCACCGACTATAAATTCTAACTTAGCGTTTGCTATGGAGCAAGGACTATATCTTCCCTTTTTCATACTAACCACATAAAGTAAATGCAAATCGAAAAATAACGCAAAAAATAAATCCCACAGTTTGACTAGTATTTCATAAATCCATTTCAAAACAGGTGAGCTTTGAATGCAAACACAACAAAACAATAACAAGGGGCAGACAAATTAGGTTCTTAGAATCGACAACTTTAATACAATTTATCATACAAGATAAAGTTGCTAAAGCGATTGAGTCCGACTATTCCTAACTATTACGTTTGATTTTAAACCGAAAAAACACAGGTGAACAAAATTGATCATCCTTAAACAACAACAACAACAAAAAACCCAGTGACCGGTGTAATTCCACAAGTGGAGTCTAAGCAGAGTGGTGTGTACGTTACCCCTACCTTGTAAAGGTAGAAATTGTTTGCTCAAGACCCTCGACTCAGGTAAAACATAGGTAAATGATAACAAATAAGATAGTAGGGCGGTAATAAACATTTTATAGTCAAATAACATAAGTATTATAATTTGAATTCAATTAAATTTAACTTACCAACAGTTGCAGTCTCATACGTAGTAACACCAACAAGACCAACACTCAACGATCCCGTAATGACGGTTTTACCCATACCATCACCCAAAAATACCACATTCATCTTCTCCAACCCGACCCGAACTTTCTCCTCATACAACCCGGTTTTGATCCATATCACAAACTTCCGGGTTTGCTCGTTTTCCGGTGCAGCATTCACCGCCTCCTGCACCGTCTTATAGTCACATCCTCCTTTACACACCGTTGCATCCGATTTCAACCCGGCAGGCACTCCACCCTTCACTTGACCCGACCCGGCCGAACCCGAATCTTCCCAGAACCCGTCTCGTTCTGTTTTGGGTACGGTCCATGACCCGGTATCGGCGCCGTAAAGGTCGAAATTCACCATCATCCCCAATGCGTTGCTGCTGTATCCGATCAAGGAATTGATAAACGACATCGTTTTGGATACCTGTGAGGTTCCATTTACGTACTTCAAAGCGGACCAGCAGTCGTATTGGTACACCATGACGGAGCTCATCCATGCACGAGCGCTCTTGTACCCGCCGTTCATCACTGCCTGACCCGTTAACCCGACCCGATATTCCGCATACCCGAGCACCTCCATACACACCTTCCCGGCGTCCGTACGGTTCTGATTATTCCCTGTAGACGCATCTATAATTGCCTGCACCATCTCTTTCGCCTTATCGTTGTTCTTCGACGATACTTTAACAGCTGATTGGATGATCAACGACGTCGTCAGGTCAGACGGTAAGTTACCGGAATCCGTCAATACAGATTCACATGTTGGTGGGTCCCGTGAAGCCTTACAAGCACCTCGGATCTGAAGTGATATTGAAGGGGATGTGGAGGAATCGGGGGAATGGTGGCGAGCGGCGGAGGAAATTGAGAAGAAGAGGATTAGGGAGAAGATAGTGAGTGTGAAAAAGGAAGCCATTGAAATGAAAAGAAACTTGAATTTTCGGAATAGTGTGGGTTTTGCAGGTTTTCTTGTGTGCATGGTGGGTACCCTTTTATACAAATTTGTGGACTGTAAATGTCAAAAAACTGTACAATTTGAACAAGATAATTGAATTACAGTGTGAAAAAAGAATGGGGTTTGGTGAATTTGGAGGAAAGTGAAAGTTCACGGGAGTGGATAGTGAACAGTGATAGCAATGAGGAAGACGAAGAAAAAAACAGAGTGGGAAAAAGCACTTTGATTTGATAGTGGTGGTGTCAGTTAATTAAATTAGGGATCTACCAAAATGTGCTGCTCCTTTTTTAAGCACGCTCGACATTTAAATTTATATAAAATAAATATATACATACATAATATTATTGCCACGTAGAATACTGTATAGGATATGAATTGTTATGTAGGACGTCAAGTAAAACACGTGTGTTTGTTTGTTTAAGTGAATACAAATTGAGGACATAAATATCAAATAAAATCAAGTTAAATGACATATTAATATGTGTCCTTTCCTTTTTGTTAATCAACTCTAATTATTTAGGGAGCTAAGCTAGTGGTTAATAAAATAAGTGAAAATGACATGAGATCAAAACTCAAATTTGTGTGAGGACAAGAAAAAAAGGAGTTTGGTTTGTATCATCATGCATATAATTCATTTTGATAATGTATGACCCGTTCACGTGATTACTTCTATACTATTTGGTGTGTGTATTTGTTTCAATCCACACCAACGTTTAAGTTTTTGAAATTTGACGTTATGTTTAAATACATATTTATTTGAAATATTTACGAAATTTGTGATTAAAAGTTCTACAGATATAGAAATTGGTTTAACTTGAAAATATTTAAAATTTTAACTAAATTTAATGATCAAAAGATATTTAAAGATAAATTTTCAAAATTTGATCTAAAATTTATGATCAAACAGCTCCTCTCATGGTAAGAGAGCAGATAATAACTATTTATACTAGAACAAATAGTTATCTTGATTCATTAGAAGCTGGATAGGTAAAAAAAAAAATCTTGTTGAACTACGTGCTTACTTAAAAGCTAGTTCTAATTAAATCATATCTTCTATCAAGACATTTAGCGAGGAAGTAGAAGCCTTTTTTGAAGGAAGCTATTCAAGAACAAATGAACCGTTTTATACTTCATTAATAAGCATTAAGAAATATTAACTCAATTTTTCATGAAAATTTCGGTAGAGTTTAGAAGATTGAATAAAGATTATCTTGATGTTTAGAAGATTGGATAATCTTGATGGGATTTGGGCAAAATTCAGAGAAGGTGAATTAATTTGACTTGTAGATTTTGAACATGTTTAGATTCGTAGAAGGTGAAGGTAGAGTAAGGTAGCAAGAAAGTAGTTGACTTACTTTGGTTTAAGTAAATTATTATTGATGGTTCATTTTATATTTATCTCGTATAATTAGTATCTATATTTTAAAATGTACTTTTTTGGACTCGTTTCAAGGTTAAATACTTGACAAACTCTTCAAGGTGCATCTCGGGACTCTTATTTAGCGAAGATATATATGTTATGTGAGTTGCCTCAAGTATGTCAGCAATCAAATCTCTAATCAATCTGGACATATAAAATATTCTCGGCGTCGAGCTAGAGAGATTCGAGATTTTGTAATTAATTTAGTGAGTAATTTCTAAGAAGAGCCTGGAAAAGAAAATGAAATAGTAACATTCATATTGGTCGTAATAGATCGACTTTTATGCTACTTTTTGCTTCAGAATGAAAATTTCATTTCAGAAAAGGACGACGTTAGTTATTAAACTACTTACCCTTTTTTCACTTAAGATTTTTCAGATTATTAACTTCCTCTCAACTTTTGTTTCTCTTGTTTCTTGGATTATTACTAATTCACTACTTTGTTTTATTCTAGAAATTGAAGAAAGTAAAATTTTTACGAGGCACCTTATTTTATCATATTTTTGCCCTTAACCAGTATTCACTTTTTTTAAAAAATAAAATCTAACCAATATCTTATATTAGATAGCTTCTGATAAATTATGTCCTTCTTCCTTCACCTTCTTCTATCAAATTGGTGATTGAATTTCTTCCTGCGAAAGGAAACTTATGTTTTAAATTTGAGCTTATTTCAAATTAATTTAAGTGTTAAATTGTTGAAATTTAAAAAACACATCTTAAGTTGGAATGCATGTTATATATTGTAAATTTGAGTATTGAATTGTGTTTTGGATTGTTGAATTCGAAGAACACGTTATTTTTTAGACAAGAAAAGTTCAACTACAATTCAAACACACATGACTGAAGTGTATGCAAGAATTTGATTGTTGTTCATAAGTGACACCAGTCTCTATAACTTCAGTAAAAAATGTCTAATGTTTGGCATTATCAACGCCCCAATTTTTAGTAAATAGAAAGTTTGAAGTTAGCTTTGGAAGACCAGGTAAATCAATTTTTTTTGAGGTTTTGCAATGTCAAGTCTACAAATTTAGTAGGCGTTTGGCCATGCGATATCATATCACAATATGATATCGTGAGATGAAATCAGCGTTTGGACATGCGATTTTACGCTGATTTCATCTCATGATTCCATATCATGAGAGGTGATATCATATTCTCCAAAATCCATGATATGAAATATTTTAATACAACAATTGATCCATGAGTTTATATTTTGTTAAAACAACCCCACATTTATATCTACTAACCATTTGTTTCATATGTAAATAAAATTTATAATCACATCATTACTTTTTAAAATTTATTATTCTCACAAATATAAAATTTATTATTACTTTAAATTTGGTGAATATAAATGATAAAGTAGAAATTCATTTGATGAATATAAATAAGAACGAAGGGAGTAACACTTTCTTTATTTTTCATAATAAAAAAAACGTCTTAATCTTATGACTAAGCATAATATTGATAAAAGACAATTTTCATTGGCGGTGCCGCACTTTCTTAATCTTAGTATTTGCAAAATGTTCGTTCACATGACTGAAGAATATCAAGTCCAATTGATTGAGGACTTGGGAAAATTTGATCAATTAGTTATTAATATTTAGTCAAGTGGACTAGTTATAATTTTTTTGATTAAATTTTATTAGAAGTGTTTTTGACTCAAACTTGTGGTAACTTTTTAAAATTTCGTTATTCTTAACTATTGATTTTTCTTGTAAATAGTTAGAAGTCAGTGATGTTTGTTAATTTTTATCTTAGTGTATTTAACTTCTAAGTTAATATTTACCCACTAATGTATGTTTTTTTTCTACTTTATAGGTTATTTGTAAGAGTAGTTGAGAGATATGAGCATATCAAGTACAATTTATGTTCAATTTTTTAGATGAAACAATTACTTAAGTGAAGAACAAATAACTTTGTAATAATTTATTATGCGATTTTATAATTTTTGTTTATTTGATAAGATTGAATAAACAATTGGNCCATATCATGATTCCATATCATGATATCATATCGCATGGCCAAACGGGCCCTTAGTAAAACAATCTAAAATTGGCTTTGGTCAGTCATATCAAACTTCAGGCAATTTTTTTTAAATGTTTACCCTTCACAAGGCTATACTTTAGATAAAAATGTATGAAGTCACACACAAATTTTAATTTTGACGATTAAAGTTATTTTTCAAAATATATAAATTTAAATTTAAAAAAAATAAATAAGCACAAGCTAAATGAGGACCCTAAAATAGCTATTTAAGACCTTCTATCGAAAAGAAAAGGCAATGTCCATCTAGAAAAGACCCAATTTCAGACCCATAGGCAAGTGAGAATATTATATTGGAAAAAAAACATAAATATATTATTTAAGAGCCAATATATAGAACCAATAGATATACTCCCTCTGTCCCAATTTATATGACTTACTTTCCTTTTTAGTCAGTTCCAAAAAGTATGACACATTTCTATATAAAGTAACAATTTAACTATAAAATATCAATTTTACCCTTAATGAAATGATTTACAGCCACACAAATTTCTATCATTAATTTTAGACCACAAGTTTTAAAAGTCTTCATTCATTTCTTAAACTTTGTGTCGAGTCAAAGTACCTCACATAAAATAGGACGGAGGGAGTAATTATTATGAACTTTCTCTTTCAAGTTCTAGAGATAAACTTGAGAATATTATTGTAGAATTTCTTTGATAGAATTTAAAACTTCATAATATTTTTCAATTAAAGAGGAAAAAATGGCCCAATAAACTCTATTTCTACGATGGCCCAACCCACTTCGTTCTCTTACTCAGCCCATTTTCTTTATGATAAAGCACTTTTATGGTCTGCAATTAACTTTAGGGAAAAGGATACTTATTAAGTTATTTCGAAAAAGGAAATTATTTACCAACGACTATCCACTTACTTTTATATCTCCTGTTTTTAACTATTATTATGCATTTGCTGTTTGATATCATCAAAGTATATGTATAGTTTGATGGTATCAAAAAGGAAGAAACAATATTTTAGTGAAAACACTACTCAATTACTCCTTGATACCATTAGGATATATATATAATCTGACGACAACACGAAAGAACATGCAGAGTTTCGGTGAAAAGACTGTTCAATTACTGTTTGATACAATTAGAGCATATAGATACTATCACATTATATACATACTCCGATGATATCAAGGGTGAAGAAGCAATGGTTTAGTAAATAGAACAAGGGACAGTCGGGTAAATAGGTTGGGTGTCCAATCAAGATAAATATACTATATTGAGTCCAATTTAAATAAATACTTTACCTACTGGGTTCAATTTATGTAGTTTTCCTCAACTTTACAAAGAAAAAGAATTGGGTAAAAGAGCCAACAAACACATCGTATTGGAATTTTTTTTCTTGATCATTCAAGTAAATTCACTAGGCTTAATTAATTGAGATTCCCATTGAATAGATTCATGACTTGTACTCAAAATTCTAATTAAGAGTGAAGAAATTTTAATCATATCTCCGCTACACCCTTTAATAATAGTTGAGTTTGATTTCAAATGGAGGTCATTATATTTGACTATTTGTTTAATTTGCAGTGGAATTCTATAATTGACAACATTACCCCTATTAGTTTGCTTTCCTTTTGTGAGAGGGGTAGGGGCGGGGTTTAGTATATGGACTCAATACAATTTAATAGTTTTGATTCAAATTTTATATTATGTTATCTACGTTTAAATATGTAAAAAGATCCAATAAAATTTGGTTACTAGCATTTGAGATCACTATT